CAATTTGATTCGTTTGACATACAATTATCTCTCCTTTTAAAAATGAAGAGAGTTTGCCCTGAATACAAACAATAACTAGTTTGAACTCGAACCATATAAACTGATTCACTCATCTCAGTCGATAATATCATATATATCATATATAGATAATATCTGTATGAGAAAATGTTGAACTTGTTTCAATGGACGCAATAAATTAATGGCAATGTATGAACATTTCACTAGATATATATTTTTATTCAGAGTGAACTTGTGTATCTCAATTTTCCGCAGTTATGTGGTTTCAAAGTCAACCTTTGAAATGCTAGTCTTCAGGCCACTCCACCTCATATGGATTTTCAGATTTTTTACCAGACCATATATACGAACTTTCCACAGCGAATCCTCCATGTTATGATAGCTTTCAAAACTTATTTATTCTCACGGAAGAAACACCTTGCTATCAAGAAATTTAATGACCTGAATGTACATACCTTTTTAGCTAGTGGATATACCATTGTACTTGACTAATCAATAACATGTCATGACAATAATTGAACCAATTAACATACAACCACTCCTAGCCCAAGCACGAGTTTCACAAATTGATACCTATGGCAATCATCAGACATCAACCACAGAGTATACCTAATACGATCGAAGAATTTGATTATTTTTTAATTATCTTCCTCAGTTCCTTATTTCACCATCACTATTAGATTGTTTTTTATCGAAAATAAGGACTTTTTTATGGTAAAACTCCAATATTTATCAAAATATACTGGGTGACACATAAAGTAGCATACGAAATGTGAACTGGAACCAATACCAATATATGTGATGGATCTCTGGGAAATTGCATTTCTTATGAAAGTTATGGTCGCTGGAATAATCAAATCGTCAGAGAGACCGAAACAAAACGATTCGCTGAGAAAATAAACTATTTCAACCAATAATAATGCTCGCGAAATTATTTTACGGTATTAAACTGATAAACCTCGATGGGAACTGTCAAAATCAATCAGACTCACTTTTTTCTGCCATCTTGTTTCTTTCGGAACGTGTGTAAACCCGAACCTTAACGAAATCACTCGTTCCAAAGCACTCGTGATTTTATCAGTCTGTTTGTTTCAATATTTTTGTCGAATAAACAAATTTTCGTTGAAAGGAATGCAATATCGATACAATTTGAAATATGGGGGAAAAATTATCAAATAAACAGGTTTTTCTGGAATACCGAGATTCAAATTTCAAATTTGCTTTGATTACATATTTTTAGATACTTATTATCATTGCTTTCTTCTGTAGGGTGTAAAATGTAATCATCATTCGTAGTACAATAATTGTTCAATAGTCATTCAACCAACTAGTGTATTAAGGAAAGCGTTTATGATCGAGATATTTTAACTTGCGAGCCAAGCGAGTGCGTTGATATTCGAGATCATGAATCGCCTTATTAATATACAAGTTGGTTACAATTTTTTTGCGCCGACTATAAATTTCTCCTGCAATGAAGAAAACTTCGTTCGCGAATTCATCATTCCTCCGGAAACTACTAACAATCACACTATAGCCCTGAAAGTCAACTTGTCACTGACAGGGAAACATATGAAAAATACATTTCTTTTGATTGAAAACAGGGATTCAAATCGGTTCAGAAACATTGAAAGGCTAACTCGTTAACGTAACATCTTCGATGAAATCGATGAAAGTTTTAGTACTATCAGTGGTGCATGTTTGGTTACCTATATTATAACCACAAGTTGATAGACAAATAGGTCATTAACGAACAATTTTATAAACATCAAACATACTCGGTAATACGAGGTTGAAGGAAAAATAATATTATGTGCTCGTCATCTTGATTCATATCTTCTGAGACTCTGAGGTTATATATAGAATTTTTTTTCTCTATAGTGAATGTAATATTCAGTAAAAAATTTCAAGAGAGCATACCAATCGGTGAGAGACTCAATTTGAGGCACAATTTCTCCGTATTTAACCCTAAACATAACCATGCATTATTGATTATGAGGAATCAACTCTATGTATATACATATTTGTTGATTCATTGATACAGTTGATGAATAGTGTCATGAAAAACTCCCCCAACTTGAAAAAATCTACTCGAATGGTAGGAAAACAAGTGATTGTACCATCATAAACAGAATATCAGATTTCATTCTGATACTGCATGATGGATGACCTATAATAATATGCATTCATTTCCAAGAACGGTCTACTTACTACTCACATGTTGCTGACATCGCCATTATGTTTAAATATATAGAATATTCCTCTTTCTCGATTCAAATGCAAATCTCGAACAAGCATATTCAATCTTCCAAATCCTCTATGCTTGCATAGACGGTGAGGTTCTGAAAACAGGGATAACCAGGAATTATTGAATATCATAGGCAACTAATCGGTCAGAAAACAACCACTGGGAATGTTGATGCACGGGACACGAGGGTCAAGGTGGTATTATTCAGCATGAAAAATGTAACTGGAAAATACTTGCTGTACAAGGTGTAATTAGATTCATTGCTAAAAATATATGGGATGTGGTTCCTTGGTTCATTTTGAGAGGAAAAGGTCATATTAACATATGCCCTAAACCTCTTACCCATTTATTTATTCACAGAAATAGTAATTATTTCATTTAATGCAACATCTTTATTGTTCCGATATTCAAAAAATCAACAAAGCACAGAAGTCACGTGCACCCCACTAGAAATCAGATTCTAAACGTCATTTCCTGCGGATTCTCTGGTTTTTTCAATAATTTCCACCCCCCAAATAACCGACTCTAAAAGTCACAAGCCCCATGTGGACTTTTAGTATATTATGAGGACCGTTGCCCTGCAAACGGGGGAGGTGGAAGGCAGTTAAGACTGTTCCTAGTCACCCTAGTGATTATGTCCCGTACTGGGGTCTCATATCGATTGGGCATGCCCTAAACCTCTTAGCTCTCCAAATATAGGATGTTGAATTTTAATTTTCTCTTTATTATTAATCAATGAATACTTGTCAAAATAAGACCACAACGTAATCGAATGTCATTATTCAGAATACATATACAGGGTGAGTAAAAAATATGTACTGGGTTTTCTGGAGGTGTCAGTACATTGGAAAAATAAGTGCAGTTAGATGAATAGACTAATGTTCCAGAATGAATATCAAGGAAGATATTTCCATCCACAGATAAAAATGAGATAGTTTTCCCGCATAACTTCTAAACGGTAGAAGCCACCAGATTTTCCTGCATACATTTATATTGATCAAATACATTCTTCTGATAGTCTTCTTCATTTCTCATATTGTTAGAGGGTGGTCATGATATTTTGAAGATCATTTTGTTCTTTGTATCCTTTTTCGTGAAAGAGTAGCATTTGATAGAGCGAAAAAATACATCAAAATGGTACTCTTATCAAACTACACGAATTGTAATCGTTTTCGAGATATTCGAGTTCTTGTGTCACAAGATATCAGTAGATTAATTCATCGGTATAACAATATTTCATTTTGATTCATTGTTGAAAACCTTGTTTAGTTTTTCTGCTGAGTAATATGATATGATTTCCAACTGAGATTTGAAGAAATTGTAGGTTATTCTTCATGCCGAGATGTTTCCAGCTCGACGCGTTCCCAATTCTATAGAACAATCTCGAGGATTGTGCAGAAATTGCGTTGAAAAAAAAAAATTCAGAACGGGAAATAGAGCTGGTGTCCGACCAAGCGAAGCTTGCATCCTCCTGAAATATTATTACTGATGAATTTATCTACTGATAAAACTCAAATATCTCGAAAACGGCTACAATTTTTGTGTCTTGACAAGTGTATACGATTTTCATGTGATTATTTCTGCTCTATAAAATGCTTTTATATTTCAACCAAAAAGAATACGAGGATGAATGTTATTCGAGAACTCATGATCCACCCTCTGAGAACACCCTCTATAATATATATAAGTTATGCATTCAATTTTATAACTTTGGAAGGATATGTCTCTTATTTCGAGCCATTAGTTTATTCATCAGAATATACTTATTTTTCAATGCACTTATTACCTCGAGAAAGCTAGGTACACATTTTTGACTCACCCTGTATATCATTATACCATAAATGCATCATGGCAATGGTTACATTTTCCTACGCGATAACGGTGCCTTGGACAGAAAAAAATCAAGAAGTCAAATTGTTGCAAAATAATTGAGGATTTCAAAAATTTTCAGAAAGAGCAAGGGCGTATAATATTTTTTCATAAACATCTCTAGTATCGTTACATCCCATACGAACACCACTGGAAGAGATATTGAAAGATTACCTGCATCAAAAAAATGCCTATTGGTTCTCAGTAGGTGCATGTCAAATTTTATGGAAACATCTAGAACAGTATTGAAGTTATGATAAGAAAACGTCAATTAATGATTCAATCGTTGAAAAACATCAAATAACGCCGAAAAAGCGTCGAATAGCGTGACGTAAACCCAACCTGTTGTTTTTACGATGTTTTTTGGCATTGATAAAAATCTAGATGCCACTTACAATGAATGGAAACTTGTTATTGACTAGCGAAGTCACATGGAAAGAAAAACAAAAGTGAACGAGTGGGTATAGGTATGTAGTACCTATTATGTGATACAAATCACAGTTGAATCTACGCAAATTCAGTGAACTGTTCGATATATTTGAGTGGGTGTTAAGCCAGATTAGACTTTCCACACCCCTCTCCTTCTCTCTCCCACGTGACTCAGCCAGCTATTCTGAGACTACGCGAAGAAACTCTACGTTACCGTAACGTCAGAAACAAACATCAGAAGTGTGGAGAAGTGGAACTCAAACTTAACCACGATGTTCTTGCATAGTTCGTAACTGCATGACGATGAATAGAGACCTATGATTTGCTGGCGAAGTCACAAGGGTAGAGAAAAATAGTAGAGGAGTGGGTAGGTAGGCCTCCTGTAACCCCAAACCTGTTCATCTGCCTACGCATGCATGCACCCTTACTAATACACTAATACCACTAATTGCCCACAGAACCTTGCGAGAAAACGTTCTGCGCATGGGGCGCGCACTGCATCAACGGCCCCGACGGCAGAGCCCTCTGCCAGTGCCCGACGTTCTGCAAGCCGAAAGCCGACCCTGTGTGCGGCACCGACGGCAAAACCTACGCCAATCACTGTCAGCTGCGCGTCGCCTCGTGCAAAGCCCGCCTAAATACGAGAGTCAAACATGCGGGAGAGTGTGGTAAGCATTTGCTGATAAGCCACTTTCTACTTGACTGAGCAGAGCAGGAAAAATAGGCAGGAACGCTTTATTTTGTTAGTGCTTGCAGCCCTGGTGCTCCACCTTGCTACACCATGTACCTTTCTCTACCCCTCTGTCACTGTCAAATGACAAGCTATATTTTTGGTTATGTTCAAAGATTATTCCCATTATCATGTATCTGCAGGGGGATTCTGTTTCACGATCGTCAAATGTGGTACAATACGATGATGAACTTGAAGTCGAATTCATTTCCTATTCTATTCCTCGATCGAGTCGCGATCGAATTAGACTTCGGTGATCGTCGGTTTTTTTGGCAAAATGGGATGAGAGTTTGATCCAATGAAATGAGCACCGTGGCCAAAGCCCCAAAGCCATCACGAATTTGAGGTTATAGTGGTTATATTGTTTTCATGAATTTCCATCTTTAGCAGCTAAAGATAGGCAAATACATCCATCCATCCATCTTCTTTGCCTGAAAAATGATTTATTGAGCTATTTTGCTAGATTGGACAAAATGTTGGTTCGTCTTCTGAATTCTGAGTGGATAGGACAAAGTATGAAGAGAATTAACTACAGAATATAAAATGATCTGTGTATTGAGGTTTCATGCAACTGAGTCATTCCAAAAATGCTATAGGTATAACAGCAGTTTACTCGCCTAGCCCCAATGAATTTACTTGACTTATCCTGATTCATAGTTTTTCATTGATTTCACGACCATCAGATTGAAAATCATCCTTTGACCATGTTCTGTGCTGTTCTGGAAATTTTATTAACATTTCTCAGTGGTCATGTCTGAGTGTGAACGACATCGAAAATGAATTATATATTATATTCATATGAAATAATAACCCTTCCAAAGCTGTGGTTTCACACTAACAAGATGATCTCACCTCGAATTGGGATGAAGATGAAAAGAAAAGGAACATCTGTTGATAGATAAGGATAGATTGAAAAACACGCTTGCAAAACGCATCAATTCGACTCCACTTGAGCTATCAAGGAATCGAATCGAGTTAACACGATTCATTTGAGGAACAGAAAACCAAATATCGAATGAAGATGGCCGATTCGACTTGATTCGTGAAATAGAATCTCCCAGCTGAATAGTTGAACTCCCAATCATAGCATGCTCGTCTCCAGAATCAGACATTATCAACATAGATTTGCTATATTTCAAAATTTCCTAAAGGTATACAATGAGAGCGCATGCGCAGGTGCGTTCATTGTGAAAGTTCATTAAAATGCGTTCTATTCAGGAGTAGATCAAGTGCAACAAACACTGAGCCGCTCAGGTGTATGAAACATCAAGAAGAGAGTGGCTATAGTGTGATGAGCATGATTTAGGTGATCGTTCTTATTAATTCAATGAAGAACGATGATAGACAATACTCCCTATACCATGAGGGCACACGGGGCCCGAAGGACCGACATTTTCTTTTACATTATTCATTCTCAAAACATTCTCATTGAGCACAGTGCAACCTAACAGCACCACCATCAAAAAAGTTAGAAACGCAAATATTTTATTGATCTCCATACGTCATCCAGTGTACACAAACTTGATGTCCTATGGATGGTCGAGATGTCCAGAGGAGGGTGTCCATAGGACGTCCATATGGATCGAGTTGTGCTATTAGGGCAAGTAATTCGTCAATTATGCGTATAGAAACTGAAATCCTTCAAACAATTGACTTGAAGATATAATAGAAGATTTTGCTCAACAAAAATCCCAAGAGGAACCATTATCTCAATAGCAACCAAAAAACCAGCAGCATACTAAGTAATATATATTGTTGATGACATAATTATATTGCTTATTTCATCACCTATAATGAATAGAAGATCATGATGAAGAGAAGTGTTCATGATTCGTTATCTTCACTTCCCAAAATTGAACCAAATTTTTTTGTGCTCTAGGTCCGCAGCATAGTTCAAAACGACCTTGAAAATAGTATATCATACAAAATAGTATATTGTTTTACAAATACCAAGGCATTTTCGAATATTTCATTCATGAAACTAACGAACAAAATGAATACAATCACTAAAACTAGGAACTAGGTACAGTATTAGTTATAGGCACGTTATTTTCATCCTTGCATCCTACATGTTTTCAATTTTTGGTATAGAGTGATTGGAATTCATTGCCTGAAGAAGTATTCCCAACAACATATTACCTCCAGAAGTTCAAAGAAAATTCCCATACATACCTCCTATCCCTATCCTCCCTAGGAACGCACGATGTTCTTTGAACATTATTGGGATTCCCTTTCGTGCGCTCCAAGCGATAAAAAAAAGGGTAATCAGAATTCAGAATTTTGAATCACCCTGTATCTAATCCAATTGAATGTCAGTAGATAGTAAATCAAGGAGACAGGGAAATGTGAGTCAGTTTAACCAATAATGAATAAATTGGGCACAAAAATCCTAAATTTGAAATATCTTGATTTGGAAACCCTATATATCTGTCGTCATTTCCGCTAGATCCCAAGTGTGATGAATTGATGGAATCAGGTCTTCAGGCAGAATCTAAAGATGCAATGTACTTCAGGGTATTCTATTAAAAAATAGCAACTTAGATACATTTCGTGTTCGTTTCACACCCTGTACAACATAAAGATCTTCGCAAAATATAGCGCTGGAGGTCCCAATTCCTCAAGAAAAAACTGTTTAAAAATCAATTACTTTAGCCACAATGCTTCGTGTCGAATAACGTGAAAAACCCTGTATAATATAGTTTAGATCGTCACTGCCGTATGAGTTATCTCATTGATAACGTCGCTTCAACTTTTTCCTTCTAGGGAGGAAAGCGGTAAAAATGTTCTGCTGCATGACAAATGAAGTGACCAACTGAATGTAACTGTACATGACAGTACGACAAACTAAATCGCATATTGGTTACAATGAATCACGTGACACAGTTCGTATACCGAAAAAGGAAAAAACATCCTTGGAAACCTATATAAGAACGCCAATGGACGCACTGGGTTCACGTCATGCTATTAGCGGACCAGGGTACAACTCCCTAACCCTACTCGGCGTCACATTATGCGATTTAGACTCTTCCCTGACAATTGAATGTACCAAAGCTTTGGAGAAAATGTCGATATATCGAATCTTGATATCTTTATTGAGGTAGAGGACAGCGATGTTTTGGGATGAATCGAATCGGAAACGATCGAAATGTATCGATTAGTGAGATGAAGATCCGGACATAAATTGAAAAGGTCCTCAAATTCCTTCCGTTCAATGTATGAGGAACTTGAAATTATGGCGGTAGCGGTAATAGCTACACCAATAATTGGCGAATATAAAGTTTAAAATTCGCGCATTCACCAAAACGTGCGTAATTGGAAGCATGATAATTTCATTCTTATGCCTGCATCCATGGTTGTATTCTGGATTGTATCTTCCAGTCAAAAACTGACAGATTTTGTATTCCTTGCAATTTGAAGGAGTTGATGATAGTAATCCCTTCTGAATTCGACAGCGAAATGGAATTAATGATTCATGATTTTTCAAATTCCATTCTTCTTCACCATTTTCATGCATAGAAAAATGGAAAAATGGAATTGGCTGTGAATATCAAGCTTTTCTCATACAGTGAAACATTCTTTATAATTAGTCTCAGTGTACCAAGATATTTCTAACGCAAATCTCGAGCAAGCATTTTCGCTCCATTATATGAATATCCGAATGATGAAACTCCTCCATGATATATCATATAACAACTCAAATTTGAACAAGTAATGAAGTTGTTGGCGTCAGCATCACATTCTGTTTTGATCAGTTATATAGTTTGAATAACATATCAAACAACACTGCCGAAACTTGTAGCGTTTTATCAATGGATGAATGTTATTGTTATAATTTATTCAAAGCATTCCAATGAAATTATTCATTAACAATTCATGGAGTTTGCGACGATCATGTTTGCAATTATTATTCTCCGTACTACGTATCTCTGATAATAATATTCACAATGGTATTTCAGATGTATTGAAATCGTGGTTGCTATCGCTGACAGTTCCGAACAAATCTGCCAAGTTTGTTCTTTCAGATGGTCTGAACTGGCATTATATTTATCGCCCCAGACCATTCTGCTGTAACTGATGTTTGTAACAGATCAGTTCTATACAGTTATTCAGGTATTCAATATGAATTCATGATATTTTACAATTAGTAGCTCACCGCATAATTAATTCAAATTTGTATTACGCACGTCAATAATAATTATATACCAGCACGCATAATAACTGCTGATACACCAAATATCATTAAATATCGAATTGAAATTCATATTGGTTGAAGCACAAATAACACAAAATATAGCAGTGCGTCAGCATAATTGAAATAAATCTAATGTGATGAAAATAAGAATTTCGATTCGAAAAAGGCGTATCCCTTCTAATGAAGCTGCACGCGATTGATCAATATAAAACGAGGTAGATTAATATCAGAATAATCAATTCAAGGATCTATATACAGAGTGGACCATATCTTTCTACATTGTTTGAGAGGAAAAATACAGATTCGCAAAATAAGAGGACCCAATGAGCTACATAGATCATTGTCATGAGTAATATCACGATGTTGGGAGTAACAACTTGCCCCATCCACAGCTCTGCAGATGATAGTACCCTCCATACTGCGTTCTCTTCCAGACTTCCCATTTCTTTCCAGGAAACTAAGAACTCACCGCGCATGCAGGTCAATGCTGTCAATGAAGACCTTGCTGAAATCACATCCTGGGGAACCAACAACCTAGTTGAATTCAACGCCACCAAAACTCAAGCCTGTATTTTCTCTAGAAAGGCGAAAATCAGTATGCCCGACATTGTAATGTCTGGCACCACCATATTCACCAAGCCCACCATATCTATGCTCGGTATTTCCATCAGCAACACTCTTTCATGGGATAATCATGTCAGATCCATCGCAAAAGCTGCTTCACAAAAACTCGGATTCTTGTTCCG